AAAGGGTAAAAATAAATTTTCGATAAAGTTTTTTTTGGTTCTATCTTTGTTTTCTTTTAGACGAGCAAATTGTAAAGAAGGTGTGGGTCTTCATCCGATGTACGTGAATGTAAACATGCACACCGGAGCTGTGTCAACAACTTGGATTGATTCTCTACAAGCATCATTTTCTGCCGTTCAAGTACGTAATGGTTAAACTCTAGAAACTTTTAGGTTGAACCCAAAGAATCTTTTTCTAGTTGAAATACTCTTTGTATTGTTGTTAAACGATGATAATATGATGTGATTTTAGGTACTACGTGGCGACATTAACGAAGCTATTTGTATGCATGCTTTGTATTACAGTATTTGGAGAAAATTTGGTGTTTTACCAGAAAGGTTCAACTGGCATGTGAACATGCCTGATGTTAATTTTTATCCATTGAGACCAGAATTTGTGGAAGCAACATATTTTCTTTTTCAAGCAACAAAAAATCCATTTTATTTGCATGTTGGTCGTGATATAATAGAAAATTTGAACTACTACACAAAAGTCGAGTAAATAATTGTTAATGTGTTAATGTAATAAATCTGCAACTCTGATGGATACTTATTTCTTCCCTTATAGATGTGGATATGCAACCGTACACGATGTAAATGATAAAACATTGGAAGATCGAATGGAAAGTTTTTTCTTAAGTGAAACATGTAAGTATTTGTATCTGGTAAGTTGCATTGACTGTTTAGTTTCACATGATATACCGAAGTTGAACTCATTTTCTGTAGCTTTTTGACGAAGACAATTATTTGAACAAACAGGGTGCTAATGATTATATATTCACAACGGAAGCTCATATCATACCTTTAATGTCAAAACTTCGCAAAAAAGTCTGGGAGAATGATGGATTTTCTAGTCCACCATCTTCTACTAATGAAAATTTATTCAGTTTGCCAGTAAATTATGAGACAAAAACGATTGTTTTAAACAAGAAAAAGAAACAAAAATCAGCCAAAAATAGTCTAGAAACTCAAGTAGTTGATGTTAATCTTGATGAATCTGCGACACAGAAATCACTGACAGCGGTACCAAATATGATTATAAATAATACAAGAAAACTTAATGAATCTAGCGTAAGTCTACTTTTACTTGGGTCTTTTGCATTGTAAAACCACTTTTTCGTCTTTCAGTGTCGATTTCAACCAATTGAACGTCATACATTACCTTTGAGTGCTGCACTTTTATTTCAATTGGATGAAATGGTTGGAGTACACTCTTCTCGATCACCGTGATCTTCTTCATATTTCGTATGTCTTTCTTTCAATTTCATTGATGTTTTCGCAATATTGGTTGTTTTATCGACTTATTTTTCTTACTTTTTTTAATTTTTGTGAACGGTTTTTATTATGTATGAGCGAGCGTTCATTTCCATTCTCTTCGTAAAACGAAGAATCTTTTATAAACAAACTGTTATTTTTTTTGTTGTTATTTATTTCGTAAAAAAAAATCATAACTACGTTTGAGAAAAGATTTGTTATTTTTGGTGTTTGTTATGTAAATTGAGAGAAAGACGAGTAATATTATGTATTATAATATTTTCTTTATTTAGCTTGAATCATCTATAGGATCAGGATTTAAATTCTCTGTTGTTTGTTGTTTGTCTCATCATCAATCCAAAGCTCATCTCTCCGTTTGAAACCACGTCATCAATAGCCATGAATGATGCAGATGATACTATTGGATCATTTCTGTTGTATGTATCAGCAGAAACATTTTACATGTTTGAAAACTTCATTCCTACTTGGCCGTCCTGGTCACGTTTACGATAATGTTTTTGTAACGCTTTTGTACTCTGATAATGTCTGTTACATACAGGATATAAAATATTAACAACACTATGATGTTGTTTCACGTAATGATTGAGGAGAATTGAAGCTTATGTTACAACATATGTGGAATACACACAATTCATTTCGGATACTAAACAAGAGTTTCATCTATCTATAAAAATATCACATCCAAACAACATTTTCACAAACAAAGCTAAGAATAAATAAAACTACTTCAAATAAGTAGTGCAAACAAGCTGTAACTGGCGCTTTGACCTATATTACTGAATTCAAGGGGACAGTTTAGCAGAAAAAGTAACAACATATGAGACTTCTTCTTGTGTTTCTCTATATGGATAGAGAACCAGAATTAATGGGTATTTTGACATAATTCGTGAGTAGAAAAACATCATTATTATATAGTAGACTATGCGAAGCCATACTCAGTCCTACTTAAAAACAAGAGATAGTACAAATTTAAGAGATAAAGTCTGTCTAACAGCTGTCTGTCTAACAGCATTGGTGATCGATGACTCACCAGAGCTGGAAGCCGAAACGGTGAATCGGGCCGGTCCGGGCGGTAAACTGGCCGGTTGGAATTATAGCTAAAATCGGTAAAATACCGGCGAAAAATCGGCGAGATTTTTTGAAAATCGATTTTCACAAAGAATTTCCGCCAGAAATTAGATAGTTTGCGAGCACATGTGAGAGAACCTTCAAAATAACGAGTCTGTAACATTTAACCGTAAAACAAGTGATGAAAATAATATCTGTCTTGAGCATCGTCTGGATTCGAACAGTTCGAAACTAGAACTTCTAATTTCGTCTGTTTGCCGTTTCACTCAGTCGACTTTTCCGCAGCGTAGTTGATCTCTAGTTTTATTTCTACAACTCAGCGGAAGTTTCTGATGTAGTTAGCTTGTCGAACTTTGGTTGAATATATTAGTTTTAAACTCAGCTACTTCATTTGATGTAATTTTCATATGCTGATTCCAAATTTCTGCCTGCCTATTTGAATATATTTTGGTGCCGAAAGACACAAGATACGCTTGCAGACTCAATGAAGAAGGCGAAAAGTCTACGTTTTGCTTAATTTGGGGTTCCTTCACCATTGACTGGTAGAGTTCCGTATGGACTTTTTGACGTGCAATCATCAATCCAGATTTTTTCAGAAATAGCTGTTGAACGATCCGAAATATTCTCAGCGGGTACCAGTTTTGCTGATCAGAAAACGTATTTAGTTAATTTAGCCTCAAGTCTAACCGGTATTATGAAGTCGAGTGTGACATCTTGTAGAAAATTTTAAGCTCTATCGAAATATAGGTGGTTTGTGTTGGATCAAGACTTTTGTGTGTACGAAAAAACTAGAAAGCTGTTATTCATATCCATTAAAAATATTCAAAAATATAACGGAAATAACGACAGATGTGACATTCAAATATCCGTATTGTCAAAGTCGGAAAGAAATGGCTAGTAAGCTCAATTAATCAGTCAATTTATCGTAGGTCTAAGAGTACACTTCCTCTCATGCTAGATAAAAGTTTTAGATTATAATCTGTAATTCAGAGCAAGATGACGGGTATCGCTCAACTAATGAAGACAGCAATTTTTTTATAACAAAAAAAATCATCTTTGATAAATTGAAATTATTGTATTTTGGTATTCTATATATATTTATAAAAATAAGCTTATTCTCACTGTAGAAAATTTATGTCTCACATAATCTGGTCAAAACATGTAGCAATGTTTTTTGCACAATATTCTTGTCATTATTTTCTACATCATCTTTTTCTTGTCGGGGTTGTTCATCTAAAATTTTAACTTGATTGTACATATTCTCTGTGGATGATGATACTGTCCATTTGAGCCATGACTGTTGACTAATCCAGTTCGAATGTTCATCATTTTTATTATTCGAAGATAATTTTACTGTTCTTGATGTTATCGGTTCCATATCTTGTTGGTCACCTATTAACGTAGTCTTATCGTAATCACCTGTTGTTAAATTAAAAAAGTTATTCGTTCGTTCATGTTCTAATCTTCGTATAAAATTTCTTATAAATAAACGTTTTCGTAATGATGATTCACATGGAGGGCCATTTAAACCATAATAATGTTGTTGTAATTTTGTATAAGAAAGTTTTAATAAATGATCCAATATTTCTTGCTCATCATGACTATTGTTAAGCATGTTGTATATATACGTTTTGCTTCTCTTTGTGCAGCTACCAAAAAAACTGTCTATGTTTTAACTTATATTATTAAACTTTATCGAATAAAAATACATGTAATAGAAACTAACAAAGTTGTTATGTTCATATTGGCGCTGAATCCGTTTAAAGTCTATTAATTATGTATTATACATCTTTCAATAAACTACAGAGAGATGAGACGTAGTTTGAGATAATAAGCGAAGCAAAAAATTTTAATAAAATTCTAATCTAATTTTCAACATATGAAGTGCAGTCTATATGTAAAAATTTGTAAAAATTCTGTGATTATTCTAAAACATATATTCCAGCAGTACAAATCTTGTCTACATTCTACATGCAGGTTCTGAGAAGAAATTTGTAAATGACAAAATCTGTACAAAGGCCTTGTAGAAACCTGCGTATACGTTTTATTTGGGTGAAAAGCGACTCATCAGAGAAACTATCATTGCCACCATGCCTGTACATAATTTATACGTCAAATTTAATAAGCAAAATACCAGATCGCACAGAGTAAGGAATATTTGCCAATGGTGCCGCTTTATGATACTGTAACACAACCAGTGGACTGAAGTTCTAGCTGTGTTCTTACGTTGATATGTGATGTGGCAGCTTACTATTCAATCAACAAAGACTGAACTAATCTAATTTATCACACATCCTCGTAAAAAATATGAAAACAATAAAAAAAGACATACACATTGATTGATGACATAATCCTGGAGAAGATTTGATCCCATAAATCCAGTTGCTGATTGCACTAACAACTCAAAGGGAACGATTTCACTTCTGTTTCCGTGAATAATATAACACCTCAGTATTTTAAATTAAAACTAATATCAAACCGTTCGTAGCCGTCTATACACGCCAAAAAATTTGGATATCAACAACTACGCATTGATTATGTTAAGCAGACATGATTAAGTCCAACCATTTCCAAGTCCAAGTTCATAGTAGTTTCTGCACTATGTAGTAGGTCATAATCGTATAGGACGGGTAAATAAATTTTATCGATACATTAAAATCTTGTTTGTTGCAGTTCCATCAGCCGTGGCGTTGAATTTATGTTTCGTTAAGTTTTGAGGCTGTTTTTCTTTTCTTCAAGTGAGAAACTGTTTTTAGCGATAACGTAAATGATCCAACTATCAATTCTGATTGAATAGAGTAAATAAATTGATGAAATTCGATTACTTTTCTCTATAACATCAGGTTTCGTTGATGCAATTAAACTGAATTCTGATTTTTGGCACAAATGCTCATTCAAATTATAGTTATTCACACATATAAAGAATAATGATACAAAACAGTTACAAAAAGAAATATGTGATCCGAAAATCTTGAACACAGTGAGAAGTTTTCCGAAAACAATAGGGCAACTATTTGATTCAAGATTAAAACATGTAGAATCATTTATGATGTTTATGTTAATTTATACGTATAAATTATTATATTAAAATGTTGTTTTCCATCATCGCACAAAAAAATTTTAAAGAAAAAAAATGACCATCGTTTAGGCCATTGCTGCCGGACGACGAAAACCAGCAGATGAACAGAATTGGTAAATGAACCATCCACCGAACACAATTGCTTCTGATACATTTCATTGACAAAACTAATGAACATTATCCGAAAATACACCAGAATTACGCACAACATTGAATCTCAAACTTATTTCTGATATGCACCGAGAAAAACTATTTGTTTATCATTGATCTACTCAAAGATGGACACTCAAAATCTGTCACTAGAGCACAAAAATCAGATGGATATTACTTTGATAAACTATTTAAGATTATTTACATATTAGAGATATCTTTGCTGGTTAGCAAAGTCTTTCTTTTCTACTGACAGCTATTGTTGATACACAACATATAATAATAAAAACACACACAATAAGGGATAATGTTCACGTAGATTTTGGAATAGACGTGTGTAATTGATGACCTATCATTTTAGATTGATCGTTGTTTGACAAAATTCAATAGTTCAACTAGAAAAAAATAGAAAAGTGAAAATTAAAAATTTTTTACTTTGTTTGAAGATAGTTTTAATTACCTGGAATGGGAAAAATGATTGTTGAGCTTTTTTCGGCACTTATGTGTGTCAATGTTTGTAAATAACGTAATTGAAGTGCTATAGGAGATTCTGAAATAACGTCGGCTGCTTCCTTAAATACAGAAAAAATCATAAAATTGTTTTGAAGAACAATGGAAAAAAGTTCCATACCTTGAGTGAACGACTAGCTTTTTGTTCTCCTTCAGCGGCTATTATTTTAGCTCGAGCTTCTCGTGATGCTTCAGCCTCGGCTGCCATAGAACGCTGCATTGAAACAGGCAATCGAACATCTTTTCTAAAGAAAAACAAAGAAAATCATAGTTATATAGATAGCAAGATCTAATCGAGAAACCTTAAAATTAATTACATTTCAACGCGTTCAACCTTGACTCCCCACGGATCTGTTCCTTCGTCTAGATACACCTGCATGGAACGAGCAATGATTTCACGATCACTTAAAATTTCTTGTAATGTTTTTGTTCCAAGAATATTTCTCAATGATGTTTGTGCAAGCAATTGTGTGGCGTACATGTTATTTTTCACATTTGTTATGCTAGTAATCGGATTAAACACACGACTATAGACAACAGCATCGACTGAGACAGTCACCGAATCACGAGTTAACACCTAAAATACAAAACATTTTTACAAAATTCCATGAGAATAAGCCGTGATCATAGTATACTTCTTGCGGAGGTACATTGAATGTGGCAGTACGCAGGTCAACTTTTACGATGGTATCAATGCACGGTAAAACAAAAAATAATCCTGGACCTTTCGCACCACCTGGTAAAATTCGTCCCAAACGTAAAATGACGGCACGTTCATACTCTTGAACAACCTATATTAAACAGATTATTACTGTGGATTCTTAATACTAATAAAACAATTCATACTATTATCGAAGTTTACTTTTATTGTTAGACACAACGAGAATGGAAGTGTTATAAACATGACAATGTAAGATAAAATTATTAATACCCATCCACAAACACTGATTCCTTCATTTGATGATCGATGTATATTCGCATTATCTGAAGTAGCAATACCTACATATATAACTAATAAATAACAAGTGCCTAGCTAAGAAAAGAATCGGTTATTTTTCTGATCATCAATTTTTTCACAGAAATCTGCCTTCATTTTTATGAAAAATTATTACTTACGTTCAGAGATGTTAGCCACATCGCTAACACTAACGTCTATCAGAACTTTTTTTAAAAATTATAATACTAAAAATTATTTACCTTTCACTATAAAATATTAAGTTTCTCTGAATTTATTCTCTACTATTACGGAAGAAGAAAAATATTTTTTCTTCTACAGATTTGCTACCAAAATCTACGTTTAGCTTACTTATACCTGGATAATGAATTGTCGAGATTTGTGTAAATCGATCTATAGTGAAAATATCGAATAATTTAGAGTAATTGTGAGAATTGCTTCTGTTTCTTACCATCTAAATTTAACGGTATACTTTCTTCCTTCATCAACATTGATATAACTTTTTCATTAGTATTTGAATTCTGAAATGAAGTTAAATTTTATTGTCGTTCAGTATTTTTGTACGTCTTCATTATACTTGTAGTCGATTAACGAATTACATGATATTTTATTCACAGAAGCAAAAGTCAATGGGTCTTTTCTTCAAGATCTACTTGCCTTACTCAATTATTTTTATTCTCATTAATATTATAGATATAATATATACTATCGCTCATTATAATTTATTAAAATCTATTCGAAAATGCGAAAATTTTCAATCAATTTGTAAAACACGTCCATCCTTAAAATATATTCACTGTTTCTTTCCGAGTTGTCTCATTTAAAAAGAAGTTTTTTAATGTGTACATCTGGTCCCATATATCTATATATATATATATATGTGTTCTATTGTTTATTGTTTTTTCTCTACATCTTAACAAGATATGTCAATCAGTTTTAACCAAAATGTCTTGGAATGATCTATTTTTTTACTTTGATGTTTCCACAAAGCAAATTGTATTAAACAATTTAAAAAAATTATGTAGAAAAAAATAATAGAATGTTTAATTTATTTTTATTAATTTATGTATTATGTTTAATTTATTCTTATTTAATTGTAAGTAAATTTTTGTAAGACATAATTAAACTGATCAATCCAACTATTTCTTATTATAGAAGATGAAATAAATCCCTTTGTTGATGGCAAATTTTCTCTCATGTATTAAACTAAACAAATAAAAAGAAAAATTTCTTTTTTCTTCTCTCATTCAGAGCTTTCAAGAGTTGTGTCATCATTAATCAATCAATGAGCAGAATAATTCATTATTTTTAGTAGACACTCGTTTATAAACCAATCTAACAAAAGAATATTAACTAACAATACATAAAAATAACTTTTTTTCTTGTTGTTATATCTGTGAGATATTTAAATATACATATGACATAGGTAAAGAAAAAAAAATAATAATAAATTATAAAATAGATATATCATAAATAAAAATTGTTTACAAGCATGCTCTTACTAGTCTAGGAATGAACATTGCTTCAGGAAGAGACCATTCTAATACGAACATATTCTTTCTGTCCGATTCTGTTTCTTAAACTAGTTTTCTCATTTACTTTGACAAAAGTTTTCATCCGTATAAATGATTACATGATGAACATCTGTCTATAGATTTTTTGGTCTGACTTAACGTTCTTTTTTTTTGTATTCACAAAATTCTCTTATTTTCAGATACAAGTCTAACACATATCAGAGACCGAAATGGATCGGGTCCCGTTCGAATTACTGAAAAAAATTTTCAATGTTTCATGCGTTTTTTTGAGAAAAATCTAAAGTTACTCTCCTTTTTTTGGGGTGCGAAAAATTGTTTTTCAGGATTCATTCGGATCAAGGAAAAAAATTTCGTGTGGGATGAGGGTCGGATAGGGTGGGGTTCGTCGGTCTCTATATGACATATATGTCGAAGAATAGCAGTGTGTATGTCCGAACGTCTGAGAAAAAATATAATATTCATTAAACTTGTACAAGGATTCTCGAAGCTTCAAAAAACCTATCATGCAGAAAAAATTGGGTTAAGCTTTCTTTTTGTGCATCAGAAGAAAAGCGAAAACAACTCACATCATATCTTGTCTAAAACTAGCAAAATATAAAATTAATTTTGCGCAAAGGGAATGAATTTTCAACAAATGTTTCGAGAAAAAGTTGCGTTTTATGAAACCTTTGTAAAAAGAAAATAAATAAATGATGAAACTAACCTGGGCTGTTGTACTTGGCAATTATTGGGAAAACAGAATAAAAAGTGTCTGTCTGACCTGTTCATCTTAATCGATCTGACTTTCTTTTTCTCTTTTCTGTCTGTTCTTTTTTTTTCTTATTTCCACAAAACTGTACAATCAACATATATCCCTAGTGAAATAATGTACTGTTAACTATAAACGAAGAAATAACTTTTGTAATTAGATAACTGTACGATAAATATATCTCTTGTTTGCGTATACTTTTCAAATTTTTCTATTCGAACACATGTAGTGTTGGATAAACAGGCAAAGCAGCGAAAAATAGAGTTTGCTACAAGAAAACCAAAGATGCTTGTTTAAAAGAAGAAAATGAGATTAAAGTTCACCGACATACTTTCATACTCTTTGAAATCATAGTGTTTCAGTTTGAAACTTTTAGAGAATAATAAGAAAAGAGGTAATAGAACATAATTTTTATAACAGATAAATAGGCGTGCTACTTTACTTTTACTAATTATTACATTTCCCGTGAGAAGTAATAAACGTTTGTTACGGATTACCAGTAAAAAGGTAATAAATCTGGTTGTTTTATTACTTATTACTTCTTTATGTAATAATTTTTCATCATTTTACTTATTACTTTTTATTACTTTTCTTCGTATCAGTCATAAGTAAAGTAATAAAAGATTA